CAGCTTGATAGATTCTTCCTGCCAGAAATACACTGGGGCTTAAAAAGCCAGGACAGTAAAGGTTTAAAAAACATACATCTTTTTCAGAATCATTGAAATAGCTGAGGGCTTCTTTCCGATAGTGGTGGGAGAACGTGATAGGATTGCGGACAAACTACAAGTAGTTTAGTCACGGCAACTGATTGAGCAATCCTACCTCCGAAAGGTTTAAGATAAAATTGTTTGAGAGATCAAGGGCCTCTATCAGATGTTCTTCCACATGAAAATTTAAAAATCATCTCACATTTTGCATGCAAATTTATTTTTATAGGAAAACTGTTGCGAAATTATGAAAACCTTCTCTAAAAATATTCATGTTGTGTACTGTCTGACATCAACTTAGTTTTAAACATTAACTTAGTTTGATTTAATGTTATGCAGCTGGATATCTAGCCTTGATTGGCATTGAACTCTGGTATAGAAGATTAAACAGAAACACTCTTATTTCTCACTATCTATAAAAAAATTGTGAATCAAGATTACAATGGATTTCAATCTTGGATTAATACAAAAGCTAGGAAATAAAGTATGAGTAGAAATGCAACCTGCATGTATCTAGGCATCTCATAGGTTAGTATAATATGAAAAACCAGTGAGATCAACAAAAGAGTCACAAATATGTACAAATATTAAAATTAACGCTATATTGTATGAAAATGAACTGCATCAAGTATTAAATACTAATATTAAAAAGATATATTGAACACAGTGCTACAAGATCACGCATTAATCAAAGCAGAGAAATGAGAGAAAACAAAACAGAAAAAGTTATAAAATAATTGAGAACATCAATGCATTAATTTTCATTATATTTTGTGTCAAAAGATCATGTTCTATTAAACATAAAATTCAAATAAAATCATCTTGTTGACATAAAACTTTATGTAAAATAAATTTTGGATATGCATAGCTAATTTAGGTACTGAAATTCAATTAAATTCTGCCTTAGCTATCTACATTCTAACAAAATAATTGACCTAAAAATTTTTTTTTTTGAAATTTTAAATTTCAAAAAAGAAATAGCTGAATAATAATGAAATTTAATATATATGGATATTGATATCAACATGATTTGAATATATGATTACAAGTTGGATATATTTCATGATTTACCAAAATCATATAAATTTTCAAATCCTACGTAAATAAATGATTTATGAATTCAGGCTTATTTGAAGCTAATTGAGGAGTTGAACCTCAAAAATGGTCCGCCTTAGCTGCCTACAAAAATGCAAACAGAAAATTAATCCGGAGAAAAAGACACGTTATAATTGAAAAATGAAGAATCAAATTATAGTAACATATATTTCTATGTGTATATACATTGATCAAAATATTAAAAAAATTACCTGAATTTCATCATCCCTGCAAAATTTTAATTGCAAATCATAAGCATCCAAAAATTGTGTAAAAATATTAGAATATGATAGTTATATATATATACATAGAATTTTAACATCCATTATTGTTAAAAATCAAACTCAAATGATACAAATAGACAATATAAACATAAATATAAAAGTCAAAATTAAGTCATAATTATACAGAAGAGACAAAATTAGATATGAAATCAACACATAAAACATGAAAAACATGAAAATCATCAGTTCATACAAAAAAGACATGATTTTGCAAGTAAAAAGAATTGCTTGTAATAAGTCAAATCTGAAGAATATGCAAAATAGAAATACTAAAGCATGCAAGACAGAAACTCAATCAAAATTGCGATAAAGTAAGAGGAATAATAATGAAAATATACAAGTAATTGTATGAAACAAGGGATAAAATTCAATACTTCACTTATGGTTTAATGCAACTACTTTCTATTTTTAGATATGATAAATTTTGGTAAGCATGAGAGTTTACAATATAAAACGTATTTATATTTATATGTTTCAATATAAACTTTCAACTTTTTTGAGTTATGGATTTAAGCCATTTTAAAATAGATTCTTATATATTGCATTTCTGGTTGCAAATCTCTTCACCGAGTTGTGAGTTCAATTATGAACTCAATTAAATAATTAGCATTAGTTAGTATGATATATTAGGGACTTTTGACAAAGAAAAGAAAAGAAAAATTATTTAATAGAGTAGTAGTAGGTTAGTAGTAGTTAGTAACGTAAGTAGACGTAGATTATTTATTGAATGTATCTGTTAAGTATCAAGAACGGGCCTGGCAAGAGAGAAGTCGCAGGTGAAGGACGAGGAGGAAAGGCAGAGGGCAGAGGGTCTCCGGACCATTGAGAAGGAGAAAGATAGAGAGAAAGAGAGGGAGCGGGATAAAATACGGGATAAGGATAGGGAGCGAGAGAAGGAAAGGGAGAAAATTCGCGAGAAGGAGAAGCTGAAGTCTAAAGAGAAAGATCGAGATTCCGAGAAGAAGAAGGATAGGGCAAAGGACCCAGAGAAGGAAAAGGATGGTAGAATCAGAGAACACGACAGGGATAGAGGGAAGGAACATGAGCGAGAAGGAGCGGGAGAAAGATAGAGAGAAGGTCGCGGAGCGAGACAAAGACAGGGACAAGGAGAGAGAACGAGAGGAGAAGGATCGTCAGAAGTCGCGATTAAAGGAGAAAGACCGTGGAAGAGATCATGAACGGGACAGGGATGGAAGAGAAAAAGAGCGAGATCATGAGCGAGGATAATTCAGAGAGTGAGGATGAGGAGGAAGAGCAAGAGGAAGACAGGGGAAAGGGAAGAGGAAGAGGAAGGGAGGCGATCTGTGTGACATGGGCGTGAGCATTTCCCTCGTTCGAGCACTGTGCGGTGGGGATGAATAAGTTCGTCGATAATCGGAGCTCTGAAGCGAGAGAATGCGGCAGTTTTCGATAGAGGGTGCGGAAATGTCGGCCTTTGGAGGCTAGTTATACGGAAAACAGAGCTCTGACGAAGAAGAAGGGATGAAAGGAGAAGCGAGCGGGTGAAAGAACGGCTGAAGTCGGAAAAGAAGAAATTGCTCGACGAGAGTCAAGCGATCCATTGGGAGGTTCAAATTGGTTCTGGACGCCATAAGAAGACATCTAAACGGCGGCTGCAGCAGAAAGGAAACCGGGGAAAATCCAGAGTTCAGGCTAAAAAACAAGTGAACGAGTCTTGGTCTCTCAAGCGAGAGAAAGGCATGAGTTCGGTCTCTTCACAAGAAGGACATGAGGAACGAGGAGAAGGTCTCTGCTGGACTAGGAGATTGAGAGAGCGGGGGAAGAAACGAGTATTAGAATTTTGTGCCGAAGTAGAGGTTGAAGCGTTTGCTCCAGATGTTCGAGTAGTAAAGCATAAAGTATACAAAGGGGACGAAGCTCTTGAAAGTATTCCGGAGCACATCTCAGATGAGCTAGATAAACTTTTTGTTAAAAGCTGGTCACGAAAGCACCGGAGGAACTTTCGGACTCGGGCTAGGTTTCAAAGCCTTACCAAGCAAGAACCACAGGCTGGAACTACCCAAGATCCCGGTGGGATTGGTGTAGACCACCTTCAATCTAGTCCAAAAGAGGCGCTGCGTGAGGCAAAAATGGCCGACCCAACAGTTAACAAGAGCAAGGAAATCTTGGAGGCCGAAGTACCCCTTGTAAATGGTTGGCATGTCGTATTGAACGAGCATGACAGTTCTTCAATCGAGTTGTCAACCAGTAAGTCTTCTGATGGGAAGTCAATAGCTAGGTCTGTGCAAGACTCATTAGCATTTGGAGGTAGGTCAGAAGATAGGGTCCAAGCAGATATTCCAAGTGTTCCACCCGAAAGTAGCCACTTCGAAGCAGTGCATGTGGAATCTGATGAGCAGATACATCTGGTGCTCCACCTTTGTATAGAGTCAAATAGAGAACAGAGTGCAGATCTAAATCCCATCACAAGTACCTCAGCCTCGTTTCCAGTAGAGAGAGTACATAGCTTGCGTATGGAGCCACTGTCTGGAGTACTCAAGAGTGCATGTTCCGTGAGCCCTCGAGCTCAGGCTCCGTCGTTTGCCTGTTGTGAATTAGGTGTAGTTACGAGTACTTCTGCAAAGGCTCGAGATTCTGTTGTTAGTAAGCCATTGTCGAAAGCAAGTGAGAACATGCTTGGAAGTACGGAGGAGCCAACTAGCCAAGAGATTGTTGGCCTCATTGTGACCGATGTAGAAGAGGATAGAGGTTGTAATGACAGCGCCGAAGAGTTGGTGCATGGAGCTTCCCGTGACTTTCCCGAAAACGTGTTGATCCAAGTAGTAGACAGAGAGACAAGCGAGCGGATGACTGATGAAGACGTTGAAGTCCATGAAATTGCAGCTTGTAAAGAGGTGGACAGAGAGATGATGGTCGGCGGGCGCAAGGATAGTGTCTGCACCAAGATCGACAAGCAGATTGTGATCGAAGTTGGGGAGCTCAATCTGAGCTACCAGGTCAATAAGGAGACGGTGCAGGAAGTCCAAGAGAGCTTGACCTTCCGTGAGGTAGGCAAGCAGAAAGTAGTTGAGGTGCGAGATTTTGGCCATGAGAGCAACAGAAAGGGAGAGCTTGAAGGCCAAGAACGTCTAGTCCATGATGATATAGCTAGAGAGAAGATACCTGACTTTCAAGGACACAGTCACAGTCTTTGCACCGAGGTGAAGCCTCATGAGGTAAATGAGCGTGAAGTTTGTAAGAAGATAGCGGAAGAACAGGTGTTTGAGTTAAGACAGCGAACAGGCTGCTGTGAGAATACGGCTACAGATGCTGATTCTGAGGACAGGAATTCCAGTGCTTTTGCAGACCCTTTCACAACGCTGGAGGATGAGCAGACTCAATCGTCAGCAGATGACAAGCAAAGGTTTGAGGGTCAGCGTGGTCACTTACCAAACTTCGAAGACTTGGATAGATAAGGTGGATAAGGTTGGATAGGATAGGGTGCCAGGTGTTACTTTGGTTGTAACTCCCTGGATTTCCGGGGTGCCTCGGAGGCGGCCCCGTGTTGCTTATAAGGCAGCTCCGTGTTGCTTATAGGGCAGTCTCGTGTTGGTGTTTGGAGATTCGACTTCGAGAGAGTAGGAACGGGGCTATAGCCTCAGTGTGGGTTGTCGTGGATTCATAGTGTAGGAACTGAGCGCGGCTCTCTTTACAGTTGGTTTCTGATGGTTTTGGGATTCATGTACTTTGGTTAGTTGGTGTGAGTGGAGGCAAGGTGTAGGAGAAGAGCTGCACCCTCAACAGTGAGGGTTGTGTGGATTCAGAAAAGAACTCTCAAAATTTGAAGCCTTAATAGTGGTGCTTCATGGGGTTGGGTAAGAGAATGGAGAGTTGTGGTGGCTAAGGTAGATATATGTGCAGGCTTGGACCCCCACCCGGACTACAACGCTAAGGGTGGGAGATAAAAGCTCACACGAGTATAGAGTATAGAGATCGCAAAACAGGAGGTCCAACAGGGACAGACACTGTGAGTGGCAGGAAAGCAGCGCGATTGTACACTTGTGCTTATCACAAACCGAATGCGAGACGTTCAGTGCCAGTGGCAGGGAGCGCTAAATGGTAATTAGATAGCTTAAGACACTGACACAACGACCACTTTGTCCAACCACCGGTGTCTACAACTAGGGCAGCGTGCGCGTAGTACGACAATGCGAGACCGCGCCGTGCTCCTTTCTAAGGAGCCCCGCTTGTGGAGCATGGCTCCACAGGCTCCTGTCTTATACTGCAACGGATATCCAATGTTCACAAACACATTATAATCTGAGTTTCTAGTCGTGGTTTGGTTCAACTACGGAAGTTCTATCCAGCCAGACAACGTCTTACCCTGTCTCTTGAGAGTACGACCAACTAATTTGGAAGAAATGAAGTACATTGAAGGGTATCATGCAAAGGTGTTGTGCAAGGACTTGGGTCCTCAAGGTGGATATATTACTCTGTTTTTCTTTGAGTACATAGGATCAGTTCTCTTGTACCCAAGTTTCTATTTCACAAATGCCCTGCCATGCAAGAGTGAACCTGAAGTAAATCCCGCTGCGAACCGGGCATCTGGTTCTTTTAAATTCCAGTTGCGGGTGTAGATGCGTCACATGCTGACTTGACTAGTCGAGGCGGGTACAACCACGTACGCCATTCTAGGGAGCATGTAAGTCAGTAAGTCCGAATATGGAGTTAACGGTTTCCTCCAACGAAGACCTAGTAGAGCTCCCCGCATTTACTTGAAAATTGTGCAAAAGCTGTGATATATGAGTAAATAGCGATTTATTGCAGAAAAGATGGCCCACTAATGGAGTACTGTGTATTTACTACAATGAAAAAATAACAATGAATAATTTACCCTAGTAATGTGGTTATTGAAATCTCTCGTACACAATAATCTTAATATACAATATATTACATAAATGATATTTAAGTTAATTTCATTTCTTGAATAAATATGCCTCATACATTATATTGAATAAAATCAAAGTATGATGATGCATTGCTAATTGAAAACAACAAGTACAACAATGAAATAAGAGAGTTTTTTATGGCTGTTTAAGGTCATTCAAGTATCTAAGGGCTTCTTGTTGTAAGAATTTAGCTTCTTTTATGATACAAACCAAGTGCAAAGTAGCGATGTTCATCATGACGAGCTACTCAAAAAAATAACTAATTTCTTTGTCATGATGTAATCAATCGCGTCTAATAAAGTCGTTTGGACACAAAGGTTTGTGTATCTAACAAATGCCTATATTTCTGGTTTTTCCCAGAAGCAAAGGGTGTGAAGAAGAGAACTTTTGGATGTTGTTAAACTGTGAACTTCCGGGGCTTCATCATGAGCATTACGACACAATCAACCGGACCATGAAATTTTTTTGATTTACTTGCCATATAACTTCTGCATTCCCAGTCAGCTGTGGATCATTCAGTGGTTCGTTTATATGTTGAAGTTATAAGACTAGATTATCTGGTCAACATCATCGACTCCATACTGCTGCGTCTGAGTAGAATGATTGAATTATTTTCCAATCGTTCTACTTCACATCCTACGGGCATTATTGCCTATTTAATATTCAAGAATAGTTACAAACATTATCTTAAGAAAATCGGAAAAAAACACGCTACAAAAACCTCAATCCTAAGAAAATTCAATCATTTGTAATAAGAATGTTGTTTATGCTAATAGAAGTTTGCAACAAGAATAATTCTGTTTCTCAACATATACCTAACTTTGTAAATCAAAATTAGAATCGGTGCCAAGCCTGTGTAAGTATTATAATAGGTATGGACATCTCAGGATAGTAAATATGAAAATTCAATGAGATCAACAACAAAATCATAAAGATGTACAAAAAGTAAAATAACTCCACATATATGAAACCCCACTGAATCAAGTGTCAAATACAAACATCAACAAGAGATATTAGAAGCTGAATAACACACTGCAACAAGAGCACGCATTGTTCAAAGCATGGAAATGAGAGGATTTGGAAAGTGTTGTTAGAGAAGTAATATACATTGATGGGTGGAAATTTATAGATGCTCAGCTTATGGGTTTATGCATGTGTCTTGTTTTTCATTGGCTACGAAAATAAAAAATTTCTATTATACTCCTGTGGCATATATCAAGAAGTCACACGATATATAACGTATCAGCTATTTAAGTGCAAACAGTACATCTTCGTCCTAATCGCTGTACTATATTTTCATTATGACGAAGCAATCATTATGAACAAGTACTCTAGGAAATTTCTAGATAGTGTAGTTTCCAATTTATAATTTCATTACACTCATCTGCTTTGTTTAAATCAACTGATGATGTCTCATACAAAACTACCAGAGTTGAGCAAATCTTGAAGGGGATACATAGTTCCCACGAAATTTATCGATTATGGTTAAGATCATTACGATGTATATGGGTTCAAGACGCAGAAATTAACGGCTTCAGCACTATCCATAAAATTTAATGATGCGGTAATCTTAATAACACCCGGAAAAATTTTCAAACTATGTAATGATTTCTATGTAATCAAGTCTATGCATCTAACAAATGAACCTATTTTCTGGTATTTTGAACCAGAATCAAACGGTTTGAAAAAGAGAAAGAATCACTATTCTTAAATCAAAATCATGACTTCTCGTGAACATGACTTTTATTGGATGGGGAATCCGAAATAGGGGAAAAAAGAAATTATAAAATTAAATAAATCTATTAAAATAATTGAAAATGATAAAAAAGTTAAGAAAACATTTGAAGTAGTGAGAATACTGTCAAAAGAAGTTCAATACTTGTCAATCGTACAATAGTCTAAATCGATTGCGGCAGAAATCAAGCTTTTGTAAACACAGTATTAAGCAATCATTATAAAATCACTGAAAGAAATATCTGATGTTCAACATAATCATAATAACTTAATAAAAGGTATATAATCCAGGCTTTTATAAACACAATGAGAAGTTTGCAGAGCATGAGTAGGTAAGAGATCTGCATATTATAGAAAGTAAAACTTGAAAATCAAATGAGAAGAATAATAAATCAAACCAACTAAGAGGTTATACAATTAAGCCAAAATTATTCAAACCAAAGAAAGCTATGTCAAATTTTGAATTATTATAAAATCTGGCACTTAAGATTTCTTAACACATCTTGTGGGATGTCAAAACTTGCCACACATTTGTAACTTGTGTTATATATATATATATATATATATAGAAATAGTTTCAACCAGCAATTGACGCGTCTCGGTTTCACCTCACTTACTGCGTCATTGCCCCAAGCGCAAAGATATAAAAAGGCTTGCACGTGATGTTTATATGTGTGCAAATAAGAAACTGGGACTTGAATTGCATAAAAAAATATTCAATGCATACAAGGACCTTCTGCCACAAAATTTGTGGACTTGACCATACAAACCAATTTTATATGGCAGACAGGGGTACTAAAATCGGCCCCCTATCAATTAGACTTCGAGGGAGAGGAGGGTGGACTAAATGTGAGCGATCGTTATCACATATATGCCAGCCATTAGCGCATGATAGGTGTGCTTACTTATTTGAAGCACACTTGTGTCGCTCGACGAATAGCAGCTGACAATCAATTGTATGACTTTCTGCACATTCAGTACGAAATGAAATAAAATTCCTGTTTTTTAGTAATTTTTTTTTGAATTCCTGAAGAATTTACTTCGGGCTGCTTGCTCATGCCTGCTCAAGTATAGAAGAAATAAAATGGAACTAAGAAATGCGTTTTCTCTATGCCATCCCTGAAAGCCATCATAAGATTCTGCATTTCCGGCCCGTACTGGACAGCTTTGGGTATCTGACGTAAGTCCCGTTTGACTTAAAGTCAAGTGTGAGCACACAAGCTAAAAAGCAACGATAAAACTTCAATCACCCGAGTTAATACAGAGAGAGTATCGTCATTAGTGCTGGAGATTTTAATGCTGGATTTGGCTGTGCTGATTTTTAGATATACGAAACAAGAGTCACAATCCTCAAATTATTCCGTGAAACACGATGATGATGTACATTTGCCTATTTGAAGTGTACTTGGTAATGATGATTATCGCTTCATCATACTTCATTATAAGCATTATAACAGTTTGTGATTGTGTGTTGCGTGACCCATCGACATGGTAGCGTTTTCAAACAAACATCAAATAATAAGCATATAAAATAAGATTTCAATATATTCTTGGTCAGTTAAAAGTAACACTGATTCATAATACCCTGAGGTTTGTATAAAATATTTGTACGGCCATTCACATATAGACTTCTAATATATCATTAAAAAATGCTTTCAATTCAAAAATTGTTGTTGCAGTTTAGTAGCAGATTATTATCAGAAATACACGAATGATTGTGACATTGAAGAACTTTAGTTGAGATCGAAAGACTCTGATTAGAAGCCTGAAAGGATATAAAATCTCATCTTGTAAGAATTATACACTTTGATTAGAAAATTATAGTCTAGCTTCGTGAATAGAAAATAATGCCACTTTTTTTATGAAGTCACAAATTTCAAAATACTTAGGCATGTAAAAAAATAATTAAAAATTGGGTAGAAAAATGTGGGTACAAATTATATATATTTATTTGATCTCAAAAATTTAATTTGGCTATACAAAAAATAAATATATTTATGTTTGATCTGAAAATCCAATTAATCAAGCATTTTGATGGTTCTAAATATCAAAACATCAACATTTTATGCACATTGACTTCTTCAGTCTCTCTTTATCATAATTGTAGGCAAATATCTTACGGACTCGCCAGATTGATAATATCGGAAATTGGGCTGGATCCAATGAGTATAGGGACCAATATGTGAAATATCCATTACTGATGTAGGGATTTCATTTCATCAACTCCAAAACTATTCGCTTAAGATTTTCTAAAATCCAAGTCTGTTTATTTGGAGCGGGTGGAATATTTAGAAAAATATGAACTTGCAATTCCACGGATGAAGATGATGGTGTGCACTTCTGTCAGATCCAAGCAAAAAACCAAAGTTGATAGTACAGAAATTTGCCTAGAGTCATAACATTCAGTGTCTTTGCTGGAGAAGCTGGTCTGAAGAATCCAGATTCCAGCAAATTACATGATTTAAAATCAAAATCAACAGTGCAAGCCATGAAGTGGATTATGTTTTTTTTCGTGTATACACTTGACGTTCACAAATCTCCCAATGACTGTGTTTGCAGGTTTGATTTATCCAACAAAATCTAGTTATTACATTCGCGCTGATTTGATTAGAAACTAGTTTTTGATTTGCGATTGTCTAGCCTCCTTTAAAACATTTGAACAATAACGCCTATCTCTCTCTG